AAAACTGGTCGATCATGTGGCCCAGCTGTGTGTCTGCCATCTTTGACACAATAGTGCTGCATAACATAACATTAATCAATGAGAATACTACACATTAAAACCAATGCATGTGCACTCACATATTGTCTTGAACAATTTCAACCAGAACTTCTTCAGCATTAAGTTCTTTCCGAACCTAAAGCTCATTAATGAACAAAACTATCATAAGAAATCTTACATGTTGCTGAAAGAATGCTATAAACTGAGCGAGATAGTTTTCATTCTTGCGACTGTCTCCTTCAAGGAATGTCTTTATAACATTGTAACACTCACGACAAATAGTAATATGAAGACTAGAAGAGGAAAAAAACAAATGTTGAAACTATGATACTGCCACTATAGATACAGGCTATAGAAACACAAGTACTGATGCTTAACTAATTATATACAATTATAAAGTAAACACACATTTATTTTTTATACATGTGGCTAGTACTACAAATGTTGCTGCATATTGCTATCTTTTTTTCAAAATTCTAATACTATTATGCTACTGGTAAATTTGCTGATTTTATTTTGGTTCCAAATTTGAGGGTTGAATAATGAAGGGGAGTTTGTGCATTATAAGAATCAATAAATTTGAGAAAATTTGCCAGAAAGAAATAAACCCACTATACTTGATTTAGGGTGCCACAAATCATTATAGTCATGTGATAAACTGTCACTGATTCTAGGGACACATACACATACTGTACCTTGATCCTTTGAAAGTACCATCTTCAGCAAATTTTAGAATCTCATGAAGTTGCTCAAGTACCTGTAGGTAAACACATGTAGGTAAATAGGACAATATTACCAACATGTGGTGAAGCGTTTATTATTACCCTCAAATTTCTAAGAAGCTTCTGATTGTTTTTTGTATTTCTCTCCTTATCATCTATTATCCAATTTTTTAAATCAACCAATGCATTCTTCACTCGCACCAACTGCTTCTGCTTGCCTTCTGTCTTACTGTGAAGCTATTAAAATACAACAGTAGTTTCAGTACACATGTATGTACAATATACTAATTGCTGTACTTGTTTAATGTATCCAGAAAGCATAGGAACTATACCAGCCACATAGTTGAACCTGTCTACCAAATCTTCAGTCACCTAAGCATAAATAATAAATTAAAAAGCATGTACCACACAAAATACTAATAGTAGTAGTACTATTAAGAGTATATGCTTGCTAATACTATAGTACTTATTGTAGATGCATAGTACTACTAGATGTATATTGAACAGTACCTCTTGCAATGTGAAAGAGTCATAGTCTCCTCTATCTTTGCTTGTAGCGAGCTAGAAATAATAGAATATGATGATGCATACATGTACATGTAAGAAGTCTTTACCATTAATAGTTCAGCAGAGTCCCACTCTAGACCAGCCAAACCTTCAGCTTTAGGATCAAAGCCTTTCCTTGTGTAAGAATCTACATTGCATATATTTAAGACATCAGTAGTGAGTATATGGAGTCTTTATTACTTTTCTTTTCTAAATGAAGCCATTGTCCACTGCGACGATGCTGAATGAGAGCATAAGATTCTAACAGTACCTCCTCACCTTCCTACAAGATACAAAACAATAGCAAAGTTCACGATAATCATAGAGTACATGCATGTCTGTACATGACGTACATGTACATGTACATGTACATGTATGTACCTCTATAAGAGGAGAAAAGCTGAAGATTGTGTCCAAATCATTATCACTTGTCTTTTCTTTCAAAGTGACCTATGTTTATGATAAAAATTATTTTAATACATCAATGGCACATACTTTCCATTGACCCATATCCTCCACAACTGCTAAATAACACCTAGTGGGAAGATGCTTGAGCCTGCACCTGTCCCTCCATGCAATGACATCACCTAGTCAATATAAAGACAGTTAGTAATGAGAAACTAGGATGTACATGTACATCTACATTATTTTGTGAATATAAAAATAATGAAATCAAAATTCTAAGTATACATGTACATGTACATGCATGTAGTTCAAACCCACCACTTCTAGGGTCTTCCTGTTTTTCAATCTGCCAGTAAGTGTTAGAGGAGGTGGAAGGTGCAGCATGTTTCCTTGAGTCAACTCTTCTCACTCGGCAATGGACTAAGCACAATTAAAAAAGTTATTCATATACAAGTACATGTACTAAATAAAACAGTAATAAATTTAACCAAAAAACAATGGACATGCAATGCCACAATTTTTACCACAATGCTTTGACATACCATCTTCAATGATAGGATCACTCCTTTTATCACCTATTGTTTCTTTAAGGGAAGCAAATGATTCTTTAGCAAAAGCAAATGATCCTTCAGCAACAATGTAACATTCATCCTCTTTATGAAATAACCTCACACAAGTACCAGCCTATGCAATAAATACATACATGTACATGTACATGTATTTGCATAAAAGTACACAAACAAAAATAAGGAGTAAATAAAATCAGCAAAAGTAATAGAATTTGTAGGTTTCAAGATAGGAAATTCATTACTAACTGACAGAGTTTTAAATGACATCATTATGGCTATATCTTTCTCAATTTTTCAAAACCTACATGTATTTTATTTTCTCTTGTTGTCACAATATTTACTATAATGGCAATAACACAGGTAAATAAAAATGACAACTGGGGTATGACAAAAATTATATACAGTACATTACTTAATGTAAGCAATTAACATAATAAATTGATAATAGAAAATAGAAGCCTTACTCTGAGTGCCTTGTCAGGATGCTTGTTTACAAAAGGGGAGTAATGAGGAATGAGAGTTAAAGCTGATTCTGTTGCTGACAAGTTTAACTCAAAACTATAAAAGGAGAACATATTAAAAGAATTAGTACAATTTTAAATATGATAAATCCTATACACATACCAGTCAGTAAGGACATTGAATTTTGCAGTTCCCAGTGTGTGATTCGGTCCACTACAGTGCAGGTACTGTCCCTGATTCTTAATATTTTCAATCTTCAACTGATCATTATACCTAACCTATAAGTATACATGCACCATGCAGTATTAATTGTAATGAGTTTTCAATTAATAAATGAATCAAACAAGTATATGTACATGCATATGCTAAATGAACACGTGTATGCATATGTACTTACTTCATCTCCTTCTGATCGAACTTTGTAACGTGGTAATATCTTAAAAATGCATTCTTCAAAATTCTCTTCAGACAAACTGACCTATGTATATGTTAAATTAGAGTCAGCTACACATTTTACATAACATTATTAGTATTACAAGCAAGTTGTTGCTCTCTGTCTTTGAAGCTTCAGAGCAAACTTTGACAAACTTTTTTGAAGCAACATGTTGAAGCTAGAGAGAGAAAGGAGGGAGGGGAGAGATAAATGAAATAGACATGATAGTAAATCATGGATACATAAAGGGAAGCAGGAGAAAGATAAAGAAAATAAATAATATATAAAGAAGAGATACAGCAAAATAGAAAAAAAGAATGAAGGGAATACATGTAGTTATCAAGAGTATTTTTTGGCTCACTTGAATTGAATCACCATATAAAACTCGACTGCCAAAATGCCTCTTCTGTTCAAGCTTATTTTCTGCTTCCTCGGTTTTAAAAGCACGCTACAAACAAAAATTATTAGATCTTATGAACAAAGCAGAATGCGCCTTTTTGATGTGTATGATATCATGTGATGGTATTTACAGTAATTGATTTAGACTATAAGGAAATACATTATAGTGACATGCACATTACATGTATTACTAAAATATACTATTACATTGGAAAATACTATTACAAATTAATGCTCACACAAGTTAACAAATAAATGTCATATGATTAATCTAAAATAATGACAATAATTGGGAAAAACCACTTAGATGAGTGGAGCAAGAGCATATAGGTATATATGTAAGTACAGGTACACAATCTCAAAATCAGTGTAGCAAGGCCTTAAAGCAAAAGACAGAGTTTCTGGCAGCAACATAAGGTAGAGATTCTGCTTTTTCATCTACAAGGGTGAGCCCGGCCCTTAATGTTTTACATTCTTCTGGTAAATTGGTATAAAAATGGCAGACTATAGCCACCAAATCAGTTAAATAGCAAAAAATTTAATTAAAATGTCAAAGTTAATAGTAACCACAATAACTTGACTCATTCCTTTCTTGGTTTCACTCACATTTACTCCCATTTTCCCACTTCCACAGATTTTATTAAACCACATACAAACTACATCGTATCTCCTTTACTTTTAAATTAAAATCAACAAAATTTTATTTTCTTGATTCTGTTTTTTTCTGTTTTCTCCTTGCATTATAATAATTATGTAGTTACATTTATCACAAGAGACCATTTCAAATGTAAAGCTTGAGATGCAACTGCAAGTTCATGTACACTTTGTGAGACGTACAATGTACATGTACATGTAGGTATGAAATCATAGCACGCGCATAAATGCCAATTAATTTAGTGGTAAGGAAATGTTTGCCTTTACTGGAGGAAAGGGAAGGAAATGTGCTTTAATTATGTAATTACAAAGGTCACGGAGGACAACTCCTGCTAGCTAATCAAAATACTTTAAGGAAAAGGAAAAGCTTATAAGATTTTAACAAATACATGTTTAATTTGCATGACTGCATGTACATGGGTATGGTTACTGTTTAAAAGTTTGGCAATGGAAGGAAAGAAAATGACCCTTTTTAATGAAATGATGCTTTATGTAATGTACATGTAAGATGACTGCACTGATGACAATAAAATTAAAATGAGAATACAAACAGTTAGTTTCTCTTCAATGATTAACACTGCATTTATTAGACAAATTAAGTTACAAAGTATTGCATAGAGCAGGTTTCTAGGTCAACTACAAGTTTGTGCATTTTATTTTCCCTTAGCGCATTATTCTACTCTTTTCTTGCAATTTTAAATCTCATTTTTGGAGCTTAGAGATTAAAATGTCTGGCTGAATAGAAGAATCCTGCTGTAAAGTATGTCTATAGTACATGTATGTACTATAGACATGCTCATTTATGTAGATATAAAATTGACCCTCAGTATTGTAATACAATATTTCCAGCTATAGTGTAAATTGAAAACTTTATAGTGCAATCAACATGCAAGATCATGCGAGTAAAGAATTAATAAATATATGTACTATAGCGATCAAACTGTACGTGTAAAGTACATCTACTTCAACTTACCAAGGCATTGCGATACTCTTGACTCTCAGGATCTCTGTAAAATAAATTATAGAGTAATGGGCTTTAAACTGTGTGTGTAACTCACAGTTGGGCCTGCTTTAGTTGCTGCTTTGCCTTGTATTTGTTCGGAGCCATTATTTTAAAAGAAGCAACTGTAATAATAATTTGTCATAAAGTTATGGTCATTTACACATTTCACTGTGCATTCAAAAATAAATGACCCACTTATGCTAACATTATTATTGCAAATAAACATGAACAACCAGTGATAATCATTATTTACACATTAATATAGTGCTGACTATGCAAGACTCACTATGCATATCATTACAAAGTAAGCAATATTGATGGTAGCTAATGTTACCTGCATTACTGCATGCAGAAATTCAACTTACAAGCAATGTTTGGAAAATCTGGATTCTTTTCATTATGCTCTTTCAAGTTATACACAGTTAAAAAGGGAGAGCTAAAAAGTCATATAAAGAGATTAAGCTATAATTTCATTTACCTTGAAAGCTCAGAGTAAACATAGCCTTGATAATCTTTTGTCTTAATAAGAAAAAGAACAGTATCACCAAAGTGCAGAGAGCCATGGCCTGCCTCAGCAAGCGTAGCCATACTCAACAAAAGTAATACACAAATTCTGCACTGTACATCAACTCTTTTATAGACAGCAGGATTGCAGGAAGCTATAAAATAAAATTATAAAATCAGATGAATGCATATAAGGAGGGACTTTCCAGTGGAAGTTATTAATATTAATTGCCTCTTCTTTATAACAAGAATCACTAACAATTACACATGTACATGTAATAGTAGCAGCACTCAATAATAATTTTTCTATTCAAAATAGGAGTAAAGGCAGGAAGTTACATGAATGCATACCAAAATGCTACAAATACATGTATACACATCATACTTTCAGACACGTAGGTCTAACATATTTTTAAAAATTATAATGTACATTGTACATGTACATGCATGCAGACTAGCTCAATACAATAATAATTAAGTTTGAATTTTTTAGCCTTAGACTGCACTGCAGTACATATACACATCTAAAGAAAGTATGTTGGTGAGGCACAATAATTATAATATGCCTTATAAACAAATTTTTCTTACCATTTTACCATAGCTCATGAGAGAGCAGATGTAGGCAGTCAGTTTCATGGAGGGAGGAGCTAGAGCATAAGACTACTAGTCAGTAATGAAAAAGTCACAACTTTCTTTTGTGTAGCACACATCACTATAAGAGAAAACAAGAGAGAAAGAATTAAAAAGGGAGGGCTTTGAAGTAATGCATCTCAAGTTAGAATACATTAATTAAAACGTATTAATTCAGTGTGATTCAGAATGCTGAAAATGAAATACCGTATAGTGCTTTACTCTGGTGGTGCTTTATTTTGATGATTTTGCTGTAAAATTGTAATTGGCGGTTTTTAATTTGGCGATTTTTGTGTACATGTGCATTACTGAGCATGTCCATTAATGATTGGCAGTTTTAATATTGGTGATTCTGCTTGCAAACTGCCAATCACCAAAATAAAACTCCGCCAAATTTAAGCGCTATATGGTATAAACAAAAAATATCAATCAATATGACAATAGCATCATGCCCACATTTCATAGTGCTAGCATGCATTTCTGGTGAGCTGGAGCAGTTTGGAATTGAGAAGTCAAAGTGAGATACATGTAAATTAATAGACGATTAGTCATACCATGCCCTACAATAGTGCTACTACTGTAAACCATGACAGTTCAGCGAAAATTATTCTGCAAACCCTGCAATTCTAAGATTTCATTAAATTAATTTTCATAAATAGCTTGCAAAATACAGCACCATGTGGCAATGGAGATCCAGAATTTTGCGATCTTAAATTATGCAATGGAGTTAACTATGGCACAGTACAATATCAATACATACAGTCATACACCATAAAATTTATGCAACAATTTTTTTTGCAAATTTTGCGATTTTTGCTCCATCGTAAAAATCTGCAGCTCTAGTGCAGTTTGCAAGCTATTCCAAAAACTTATTTTTATGAAATCTTACAATTGCATGATTAATGAAAATTTTTTATTGCATAAATTTCATGGTATATGGTAGAGAGAAAAACGAAAGCACAAAAAAGGTGTTGCAAAAGATAGTCAATTCTTTGAAATGGACGGTTGTAGCTAGAGGTACTACACAAAATACACAACTATATTGTGACAGTACACTGTATATTCATAGCCATGCAAAATAGTGTTCTCAGATGGCAATGGTGATTCTTTTGATGTGCATGATATCATGATATTGCAATTATGTTAATTAGTTTAAAAGAGAAGGAAATGTTTAACTTCTGTTGGAGGAAAGGGAAGGAAACATTAAATCACAAAGTCCAAGCTCATTGGATTACTTGATTAGAATAATTAGAATTGCTAATGATCGTATGAAGAGTAGGAAATACTGTTTTAAAAATTTACATGTACATGTGTATGCACTTTATTGCAAGCTTATGTTCACTATGTTAGCCTGTCTTTTGAATAAAGCAACAATAGTAACTGTATAATGCTATTCTGTGTGCAATGGTTGATATAACTACTTCAATGACATATATGTATATGTAGGCCTGGGACATACATTTTTGATATGAACATAAACATGTATGTGCTCATTGTGCGGAATGCAAAAGCATTAAGTAATCAACTACATTACTGGTGCATACATAACAGAGGAAAGTGGATTTACAGTGAAGTAATTGCATTAAATTAGGTAAAATAGAGTCAAGAAAGACTAGGCAAAAAATTGGTGTACCAAGTGAGAAAGAGAGAGAAGACTATAAATGATAAAACAGACATCATATATTATACAGCGGGAAAGTTTGGAGGGAGTTAAATTTGACGAATTGCCAAATTTTGATGATTGACAAATTTTAATTTGGCTAATTAGTGCCACATGCCATTGAGCATGAAGACAATGGCTCAAAATATTTTCATGAATGGCTATCAAAATACCAAATTTGCCAAATTTAATTCCCTCCAAAATTTCCTGCTATACAGTATTGGAGCAATCAAAACAAGGCAGATGTAGAGTTAAAAGTGAGAGGTACATTTAGCAAAAGAGAAAGACTAAAAGTGGAGCAGAGATGAGAAGGATAGTATTTTTGAGTAAATACATGCTCATACAGCAGCTTCTGTAGTCCCTAAGTAAATGAATGCTCATTTCTCAGCTTTGGAAACTTTGTCTTAGCCCTAATTGCAATTCTTTTATGCAAGGTTGCATTACATTAGTAATGTTAGAAACATATTTAGTAAGGATACTTTTAAAAACCAAGATGGACATAGTGATGGCTGGGTACAAGCTTACAAGATATGTAAACTATCAACATCTATACAAACTGATAAATCATGAAATATGAAACCCATGAAAATTATACACTACACACAATGGATAGAGCTCACTTGTAATGTATAATTAAAGAAAGCACATTCAAGCTGAGTCTGCAAATTCAATGTTTCTTGTGTCATCAAAATATTCAGATCCGACAATAATACATCATCTGACAATGATAAAAGGCAAACCTAAAAGATACCTGGTTAATATGCACCAGTGAAATTTTATTTTGTTATGAACTTACGATGGCCTTTGTTAATAGGTGGCAATAGCCACAATACTGTTTTTCAAGGACTTTTCTTTATCTTCAAACGATTGAGTATCAATTAAAGTCTCTTTGTCTTCTGTTAAATTATCATTTGTTACAACAATTATATTTTTCTTCACCCACATGTCTGGTACCCCCACCATGTCCTCCTTGAACCAATTCCTAAATGTTTTAACACAACAACTCATGTCATTGTGCATGACAATATCATTTCTTTTGACTGACAAAATGTAGCACTTCAGTCTCATCTTTTAACTGGGTTGTGGGATTACATATAGACAGCTTCAGGACTTTTGCTTTGTGTTTAGAAACGTCCTCATTTAAGATCCAATCCAGGATGAACTTCTATGTGTGAACGCTCAGAACGTATGGTTTAACTGTGTGGCCATGGCCATGCTAAAAAAACTTGTCACTTGGAAAAGAGGCTCTATCTCGAAACTTCTGTATGCCGCCACTGAAAAACCTATAAAGGTGTCCTTGTAGATCTATTAGCCATTTTACTTGTTGCCACGTGATCCCAAACCCAGATCTTATTCTACATCTCTGATCTAAGAGCTCATCGGGCTTCCTGTATCCATTCCCACTAACTTTAACTTTCCCACTAAGGTGGTACTCTCCTCAACAGAGGAGGCAACAAATTAAAAGAAGACGATTTGATTTGAATGATTTCAATGATTTGGCGCCAATTAGCGGATTTCAGTTCACTTCCGTAATTCCGTCCGAGCAGTCGAGCACCACGGAACTCGGGAACTTGGGTTCAGCTTTTAGCAGTATTTTACCCGTCTAGGAATAGTCAGGCGGAGCCTGACCCTCAGGCCCGCCGACTAGTCTAGGAAGGCATAAATAAGATGGAATCAAGCACGAAAAAGACCTTTTACTTAGTCTTACTATAGTGAAGTAAATAAAATAGGGATTGTTAAGTCATGTACCGGTATTCAACCAGACCACACCCTCACCATGTCTTCAGATCAGTAAGTTACCGGTATGATTGAACTATGAATTACATTTTGTGTAGGGCTTCCTATCTCTAATGTTTGTGTTGGACTCTCAAGGTTTTAAAAAGAATTGAAAGACCATTCAATGATAGGTTAATTTTTTAAATTATTAGAACAATTAAATCTGAGGCGTCATGCCATATTATGGTTAAAAGTGGTCAGGTTAACAATTTTAGCATTTAGAGCTAGATTTTAGTGTTTGGGTTTAGTGTTTAGTTCATTCAAATTATATGGTTGAGGGACCACTTTTTGTCAGGAAAGCGGGTACCAAATTTTAGTGATAATTACTTTGTGTAGAATGTAGATGCATTATACTATCAATAAAACACATGTACATTCATATATGTACATTTTAGCCTTTTTTGAACACAATTGTTGGTACTGCTATTAGTAACGCGGTAGCGTTACTAAGTAGGATTCACCCCACTTCAAAATGGCTGCCATGACTTTTGCAGCATTCTAGCACCTGTCCTCAATGTTCTTTTTGAAACACAATTTGTACCATGTATACTCCCTGTCTTAATTACAGAGGTTTCCCCACTTCACAAGTACTTTGTTTAAGTTTTTCCTTTAAGGCGTAACAAAAGAATAGTTTCCTGAATAAAGAAGTTCTTATCAGGATTGTTTGTACTATAAAGATTATACTGTACTTCTTTCACTCTAATAGATCTCCTAGAAACTCATGATATATTGGTACCAGCTAAAATGGATTTCTGAGTATATTAGATGTCAGCTATTGTATAGATGAAGAGAGGGAGAGAATGGTAGCACCAATTGTAGAATTTAAAGAGAGCAATAATGGAAATAAGTTAGTTGTACATGTACATTTACATTGAATTTGTAATGAAAGTTAATGCATTTTAACCGCTAGTAACTCTATTGTCTTGATTGTTAGTTGTTTTGGAGGTTTCATAATGCAATTACTTCCCATTATAGTTAGCCTTTGCATCCCAGTAAGAAAAAGCTCCATTTACATTAGTCAAATTTGTGACTTGATGGTTGGTATAGAATAATTAATCAGCATTCTTGATACTGGAGTCTGTATATTAAATACTGACATGTACAGTATGTGCATGGCTTGCAAAGTATTTACTTTAACAGAAAATTTAATATACAGTATAATGCAATGAAAAAGCTACATGTAAGTAGCTGCTCTGTGCTACCTGTTGTTGATGGTGTATTTCGTTTTATTACTTTCCATGCAATTAGTTGAATCTTCACTCATGCGCAGTTATTGTTGACATGTGATTTTGCACTTTGCTCCAACTGGTCTTCACTACTCTCTTGTCTAGTAGTAGCGCTGATGATAGTTATTTCTTTGTTACTACTGCTGATACTAGATCCAGCACCGCAAGGATAAAGAAACAAATCTGCTACTTACATGTATATGATCTATTTTTAATGTGCTTTGTGGTATAATCATCTTAATAATACAGTTAAGGAATTGGAAGAGACTGTGAACTCTCAAATTACCTGTATTGACAGGGTAAAGAAAGGCATGCAAGGATAGTGTACATGTATTAGTTAGATCTTTTTATAGTCGGTTTCAGTTGAGAAGAAACGGAAGTAAATTAATATTTTCGTCATTAAAACGTCACGTGTAGCCCCGCCCAAACATGGCTGCAATCTGCAAGCTCTGTCATTCTTCCAGCGTTTCTTCTCCTTTAACTTACTTTACTATCTATTGTACCTCTACAGTGGTTGCTGCTACCTCCATCTATCCTTTTCTTGTTTTTGGTGCCTGTTTTTAGCTGGTATAGAGCTCGGAATACGGCTGAATCAATGAGTGTACTGAAATTGAACAACAACTAAGATTGAGAAGGCTGTGGAGTGATATAGCAAGAATTATTCTAGAGAAAAAGCTCCTGGTTGAATATTTGTAGTTCTAGAGAGCTTGATATGTTTTGTTTTATTTTTTAAATAAAAAACATTAATTTTTGAGTAAATGTAATGAGATGCAAATGATATTCATCGGAGTGACGCACACAATTCGTCATAGCAGCTCCTTTCATCTCAAGCGGAAGAACCCGTTTAGAACCTTCCAGAGTACCTAGAAACTCAAAAATTGGTAAGGATTTTCGGAAGAACCAGTTATGCAGCTATTCATGTCTTTCTTGTGAATAAAATAATGAGATTCATTACATACCGTATTGGTAGCTAATGAGGAAAAAAATTTCGAAAAATTTCAATCCTCCATTTTGGAGGTATAAGCAGTGCACAGTGCCTATCTACTGTCGTGCTGTAGGCTGTAAAAACCTAGCAGGAAAGTCCGAAAAGAGTTTCTTTAGGTTTCCCAAGGAAAAGAAACAAAGGAAAGCCTGGATAGTAGCTTTAAAACGGGGAGTCAAATGGAAACCAACAATTTACACAAGAATTTGTAGTGCTCATTTTGTTGATGGTGAGTGATTAGTCTTATGATTTGGTTCATTTTAGCTGCACTTGTATAGGGAAGTATTCTAGAAACCCACAAGCTGACAACTATATACCAACACTTCTTGAATTCAACAAGGTATCTCCATCCATTGCAACATCAAGAATGAATCGAGCAGCAAGAGCCAGTGTTCGTCGTGGCAAATGTAATGCCTCATGTGAACAGAATATCATGGAATGGCCAGATGCAAAACAGGTTTTGATGCGATTCCATTGCAGGAAACTGAGGAGCAGGTACATGTTAGGAGAGAAGAAGAAGAAGAAGAAGCAAGTGAAGACTTGGATGATTTTGTGCATGATTTAGATAGAGATGTGATGTACCAGGAGAGATAAGTGGCGAAGCAATAGAGAATGAAGAGGATATAGAGAGAGACAGATTAATAGGAGTGGATGACGATTTTGCTGATTTTGAAGATTTAGACAGAAACGAGATGTTACAGAGTGATGACGTGATTGAGAATGAGGAGGATATACAAGTAGAGAGAGACTCAGAAACAGGAGAGGATGATGATATTGCTGAAAATGACTTTGATTTGGGAATAACAGATGAAGAACCGTTTCAAGGACACAATATACAGGAAACAGTGGAGGAACATGAAATTTCTGATGACCCAGCTGTATTTAGAATCGTTGAAGATTTATCGTATGAAGTATGTGAACTGCAGGCACATAATGAATTTTTGTTGAGGGATGTAGCTGATTTGAAGACGGAGAATGAATCGTTGAAGAGACAACTTGATTCATGTTCGCAATACATGGGGGCCATTCAAAATGCCTATTATGCCTGTTCCACTCAACATGCTGCATCTCTGCTTGTTTCCTTGAGCACAGCTAAGACAACAAAGTTTGGTGCTGAATTGATTCTTGATAACGATGAAAAGACCCAATTTTATACAGGTCTGACATCATACAGCCTTTTTGAAACACTGTTTAAGTTATTAAAACCATTTATGGAAAAAAGAATCAGTAAAAAGAGACCACCTCTCTGGTCTATAAAGGATGAATTTTTTATAACGCTGTCGAAACTAAGGCTAGGGTTGCTCTACAAGGATATTACTTGCCGTAGTAACATTTCTGAGTCTAATGTTTCCAAGATTTTCCATAAATGGCTAGACATAATGTATCGTGAATTACAACAACTCATTGTGTGGCCTGATAGAGAGAAGCTGTATGAAACACTTCCAATTCAGTTCAAGAAGCACTACTTCAATGTCATATCGATTATTGATTGTTTCGAAATTTTCATAGAAAAATTGCTATCATTAGAATCAAGGTCTTGTACATACAGCCAGTACAAGAAACATAACACTCTTAAAGTTTTGATCTCCATAGCACCAACTGGTTCTATAACATTTATATCAAATGTATGGGGTGGAAGGGTTTCGGACAAGGTCATAACTCAGAAGTCAGGATTTCTAGATAAGATATCGTATGGCGATGTAGTAATGGCTGATTGAGGTTTCAATATTGCAGATGACTTGGCTATTCGAGGAGCTTATTTGGAAATTCCAGCCTTTACAAGAGGCAAGAAACAACTATCAATGGCTGAAGTTGAGAAAACCAGACAACTGGCACGGCTACGAATTCATGTCGAAAGAGTAATTAGGTTATTACGTAACAAATATATAATTTTACAGGGAGTACTTCCAATCACTTTAGTGAAACGACCTTCAGATACAAATGTAGCAACAATTGAAAAAGTTTTTACCGTAGCAGCTGCATTAACTAACACATCCAGTTCAATTGTATTTAAGTAATATTATTATTTTATTATCAGTAACTCCTCTTTCTCGTCTCTCATTTGGCTCTGTTATTTTCCTCTCTAAGTTACTTTCCTCCGCTTTATTATTATTGATTTGATTACAATAACATTAATTTAACAGTAACAACTATAATGTAAAACCTTTGTCATGAGAGAGGTATAGTGTTGCTTTGCTACTTCCTCATGATCTCTCCCCCACTTTAAAGCTTGAGCATTAGGATTCACAGCATAATATTGCATTATGCTCTTGACTATTGAAGTTGGGTATCGTTTCCCCATATGCCGTAATATACTATGCATGTGTGACGCAGTAATTCTTCCTTTTCTATGATTTATCAACACTTCTGACTTGGCCTGTTGCGTTGTTGCTTCAGCAAGATTTTTTGCCTGCGTCTGTGTGACTGTTAAGCTTATGAATGTCCTAGAACGCACATTGTGAAGGTTCACAGCGGTCACACTTGGTTCATAAAGATCCGTCAAAACTTGTGGTAGGTCTGGATCCATATCAGCTATATCAATGGAGAATAAATATAGATTTAAAATCAATAGATACATTAGAAAGATAGAAAGAGATTAAAATTACGTGCACTTGTATCATCACTGTCTTTCAATAACTGCACATCATCTCCTAAAACAAAGAACATCAATGATTATTATCATGCATAAAGCAGCCAACCGTACCACTTGTACTTGATTCTTCTTCCTCAGATAAGGTTGCATCGGAATCATCTATTGAATACTCTGAAGTTATTTTAATGAACTTCAAGGTACTTATAATCAACAACATACCTCTCATTGACAATTGCTGGCAAGGGAAGCCTGCCTTCACTGTAAACACAGCAGCTGTGGGGCACACTTTGTGTAGCTCCTGCAGCAATACTGTTTCACTAATTCTTGGGTTGGCTAAAGTATTCCTCTGTGGCTGAGAGACTGTTTCCCCTTCTTTTCTAAATCTCTTCCTAGGTTTCTCAAAATTAATTTGAAAGACAGGGCTTGGTAGTGTCTGAAAGATACAATTAATTAGAAAAGTACGTGTAAAGCCAAAAGCATACCAATGTAGAAAAAGATTGATTCCATACACATGGTAACGAGGTGCATGTCTTTGCAGCAATCCCCAAGCGGATACAAGCCTCCACTTTGAACAATATTGCAGCGACATGAGAACATACTTCACCACATCTATTAGGAATATATAATGTAAATAAATCATTATGATTGATTTAAATTGCCAGTTTACCCAGCCATACATGTACAGTGTCCTGTTAAAATAGTGCCATCTTCCTTTTTGACAGCTGTCCATGTTTGATGAAAATTTGTAGTCCTTTGTGATGGACGAACCTTTGCTTTCAAAACACACACATCAGGATTAGAGGGAAAGGAGAAGAGAAAAACAGTCTGAACCCAACCACTACATCAACACCAATGAAATATTCATACACATTCAATTGTCAGTGACTATTTACTTTATATAGAAGTTATATGCATCTAAACTGTTGTATGCCTTCATCTTCTCCTTAGTATATGGCCCTGGGGTTTCTATTAAGTAGGTATATATACACCCATACTCGACTGGGGGCCACAGGCTAATATCATCAACCCAGCCATCAGTTATTTCATAGGGATCCACGCTTGCATCGTAGTTTTTCTTCGATATGTCCTTGATTTTTTTGTACATATCGCTTTTTTCAACTTCTGGTAGCGTAGAAATATAGGAAGGTGCCATAACAGCAGCCAGACTACAGCTCTCACATTGAGTTTGACCTCCACAATACCTCCACAATGGCGCAAGCGGATGCCACTTCTACTAATTAAGCACAACACGTGTTTAGAATATTTACGGAATAACATTCACAGGAAAGATATGAATACCAAATTTCAATTCGCTAACATTAGTGACAAAAAAATGGTTTCTTCTCAACTGAAACCGACTATAGAAAACTAAGCAAGTCTTACCGAAGCAAGCACCTGTGGTACCAGATTCAGTGTCAGGATCATTGCCAGTAAAATCTTCACTACTCAGTGAAGTATCGCACTCTCCTGCTATGCAATCTGAAGTTGAAGTGCTACTAGATCTGGACAAAGTGATTAAAAAGTACCCCAAGCATGTTGCAACTGTAAGTAATATTGGAAGGCTTCCATTAAGGTTGGCAACTTGGCACTTGAGTTTTGTTTTGGGAAGGAGCAGCTACAACAGTGCTCTGTATATGGTTTTATGCTGCGTTTACACTACATAGGTGGGCCAAACCGTGCTGAACCAGACTGAGCTGGCCCTGCTGTACTAACCATGCTGGCCTGGTTTGGCCCAGCTAACTTCAGCTCAGTTTGGTTACTGTTTACACTTTCACATTCATCATGCATTTAAAGACTAATATTGGAGTCTTCCCCTTCCCAACCAATCCCAGCTCATACATGTACATGTGTCTTTAACAGGATGCTTGGGTCTATAGAAATTACACAAACATGTACATTGAATAACTATTATACTGTTTTTTATACTATGATCTTGGTTTAGGCTCTGGCTGGGTTCCCTTCCTACAACAATTCTCCTGTGAGATTCAAGCATCACACTAGCTGTCCATATCACATCCTTAAATTCATCATTGATAGCTTCTTGCAAATGAGCTTGTGCACAAGTTAACCTCTTTATCTTAAATGGTCATAAATACACATGTAAATGCTCTGTCTCACCTAGTTTTATTGTAAGTATTATTTGGCAATAGGCACTGCCTCTAAAAGTCCATCCTAGCTTTGTATGAGAAGATAAAATAGTCCTCAGTGACAATGGGTAGTGTTTGTTGGCTAGAATCCGTTGAAGCTGCACAGCAGTCGTCTCATCATCTAATAGCACCTGCTCTTCAACTATTTTCAGGACCTCATATGTATTTATAGTGGGACGACCAGAACCTAAAATTTTTATTTAATTATTGTAGTACAACTCCCTTTGATGTGATTTCTACAGCCCTCTCACTGACATGCCTCAAACGCTCTCCATCACTGGAGGAGGCTCAATTGTCTACATTATCCATATTTTACTCGGGTTTCAGCTGTATCTCTAACACTCTCTTTGATGTGCTTAAAATGCTCGCCTTCAAGACCAGAGTCCTTTCTTCTTTTGAGGCTAAAGAAACCTTTCTTCTTTTACAAAAAGGGTAGTTTTTAGTGGTTGCTCCTCTCCTAGGCCTAAACCTCTTAGGGGGTTGTTCTTGTACTAAATTTAAGATAACAGTAACATTCGGTACATGTAATGTTACCTTACTATCTCTTTATTGATGGCTCTAAGTTCATTAATTCTGTCAGCCCTCAGTTCCTGCAATGAGGTTTGTCCTGCCGGTGGCAGAGAGGATGCCATGGACTGGTGGTAGTAGTACCCCCGGGGATGACCGGACTGGGACTGGCGGTGGTAAACCACTAAAAACATTTACCAACTTTTAGTGGTTTTTTCAACTGCTAAAAATTGCTTTCGATCTTAAGTTTCCTGCTTATGCATGTTTGCAGTAGTCTGAACCTGAGGGGATAATTCACTTTCTTTTTGATCACCAACATTATAAAAAGAATCTGTGTAACATTGGATTTGTACACACTCAACTCTGGACCTCGGCCTTGTGTTCTATTTCTGCCACTCAACCTGGGGCTTGTGCATACCATTCCAATATTACACACTGACCCATAATTAACTATGTAACATTTGAATGAGGGATTTATTTATTGTACTTGTACATATTTAATACTTCACGATTTTATAACCATATGATAATTGTCTTAATGCATTGGTGGTGCTAGTTGGAAATGCTAGCAGAACCAGAATGATTATATTCATGTTGTTCAGTTGTTGTATTGCCAAACTAATGAACTTGCCTCTTTTTTAGAGCAGGTTCCTTCTATTTCTAAAGATTCCATCCTCTTCTTGTCATCAGCCATCTCTCAACGATTTGCAACTTTTCTTCACTTGTAGCAAAATGACTATTCGTGTCTCCTTTAATGTTCTAATAACAAACTAACTTCTCTCTTTCTACTTTTTTAGAGTAGATTAATTTTTTTGCCAGCCATGTCTCAAATCTCGACTCAGTAGCCATGTGGTACATTTTGTGTGTATATGTAGGTAGCACTTGCACATATACAGTTTTCAAAGTCTGGCTTAGGCATAATGTATAGGATCATATTTCACTTTCTCATACTACACAGACTTGTCACAAAAACACAAAGGTATAGAATGAGGGATACTGCCTGATATTTTCATGGTCAGATAATGAAGGATATCCGTCTTAGGACTTCCTGAACTTAATTTGTATATAACTTCTCCATTGTCCATAACAATTGACGAACTGCTCCTTAATAGTCTAACTCCAAGAAATGGTAAAATGGTAGTTGCCATTGTCTCAATAGAGGAATATCAGTAACATTATGAAAGAACTGGTTGAAGAGCTGAGAAGAGAAGGGGTGAAAGGAGACTTTACGTCAATAATGGTTGATAGACCTCCCTTGCCTTCTTTAAGATTGTCAGAAAGCGATCATCAGCCTGTTCCAGGTAGTGTTTTCGAAAGATGCACTCAGTAATATAGGAATCGTACATCTCTGTTACAGTACCTGATCGAGGGAGAGATCGCTTAATTGCCCTCCAAGTGCTCTCTATGGTTTGGGTGTGATCCCCAGTTTGACTGTTAACGAACTTTATACCATGGTTCACAGTCCCATGAATATATCCTTCCTGTTGAAGGGTACTGTAGCTCTTCTAACAGTTAGTGATGACTTTCGTACCCTGAAGAATATACTTCTTAATCAAGGGGATCAAAGTAGCAACAGATCTGTCCTGTAAAGTCACCATGAAACACCTCTTCAATCCCCTTTCAATACCTCCAAAAACCCACTGGCCATCAACCCTCAATCCCCTATTAAACTTCCTTTTACCGAACTTTGACTCGTCTACCTCCACCACTTTTCCAGGTCCTCCAAGAGGCTGACTGTCTCTCTCAAGCACTGTGAGACCAACCTCCCTAGCAAAATAGCACCAAGCTACAATGGTAGAATTGGATCCAATGCGGCATTTCCTGTTTGCTCCAAGTGCCATATCCAATAGTAAGTCAGTTTCAGAATCTGCTCTAGAGTCAGACGAGATCCCTCACACCAGCTACCTTTCCTGATACTGACCTTCTTATTGCAGGACTTCTGGTCTGAGCACCTCCAAACTATGAAGTCTCGTGAAAAAGAAGTGTCCTTTCCCAGCCTCATCCTCCCATTATCGCACTTAAGACAGCCATGATAAGTAAAGTTTCCTAACACCCCTTCCCTTCTCAGCCATTTGCCTATCTCTTCTCTTGTCTTGCTGCATATAGCATAAATGTCATCTAGTATCATTCCATTGGTAACAATAGAATTGGTTGCCATTTTGCCTGTAGATCACATGAGGTAAGATGTGCATGTGGTGCTTAGACATATGTAGCCACATCCTGTAATACAAACACGGTAAAATGGCGATTTTGCTTGTGGCTGGTAAAGTGTAATCTACCCTAAGTTATTACACTATAGTTTGGTATCATTTTGTTAAATTGTTTTGATGACATTGGTTGCAGTATAAACAAATCACAATAAAAAGTAACAAGTGTTATCAGGTGAACAAGTCACAATTGTTTTAAGATGAGTATTCAACGGTTCTTGCTTAGCACTATCTGGATCATACAAGTATACAGCTTTACTTAATCAAAATGTTCAAGAATTCCTTCGGCAGATGAAACCGTTGACTTGTACACTGTATTACCTTTTACATCAGGTATGATTCCTCTAGTTGCTGATTATTTGCGGTAAGGAAGCAGTTCTTTTCATTTTGAGAATTTTTGCTGACTGCTTAATATTGCAACACATTATTGGCCTTCCTCAGCTTTGTGTAGGCGAGGAATAGGTACTATACTATTGTCTGTCTGTCTTTCATTTTCATTGTTCCCTGGCATTTACAGCACTTAGCAAGGATGTCACTAATATGATGCACTGATTCTGAACAAATGATACAGCTAGAGGAATTTAAAATAATTAACACTGATATTATTTGCCCAACAGCTGGTGGATTTGTGAATGAATGCTCCTCTGTTTCATACTCTTTGTCCTCTTCAATAATTTTATCATTATCTGAAAGCAGTTCTACAACTCCACCATCACAAAATGATAAATACTAATTAAATATTAAGTGGATCACTGATTGCCCATAAGCAGTGAGCTCCTTTGCTGTTCTGTTGGGTGTAAGTACTGCCAGAAACCCCCAA